CAAGAGCCAGATGCTCCAGGGGTATCCCTCACATGGGCTCTTCATGCCCTCCTGCTGTGGCTGAGCCATGACTGCTTTGGCTGGCTATGGGCAGGGCTCACACCCAACCTGGCTGCCAGCAATGGCTGACCCCCACTGTTCTGCTTCTGTTTGTGACACTGGTGCACCTTAATGACTGACTGGGCTGCTCTATTGCTTTCAGATGTGGGCATGGCCTGTACTCAACTTGGCAGCCAGCAGTGGCCAATGTGACTAACTATGGACTGGGTGTGTTAGGTGGGGCAAGTGTTCAGGGAAATGCCAGCCAGGGCAGGGCAAGAAGCATAGTTAGAGAGTTTCAGAACTGGCTCCCACAAGTGTCTGGCCATCTAGGTGCAGGAAAGGCTGGAAAAGTGGCATCCACCAGCATTTTCTCCTCCAGGGAGAGCTCCCTCAATCCTCCACCCCTCCAGCACACTTCCTAAAGTTAGTAAATCTCCTTTCAAACTGCTTTTTCTGTGTTGGGCCTCAGAACAACCAACAGCGCACACAGATCCTCCACAAGTGAAGACTTAGCCCCGCACAGCCCTCCAACTCTCCCTGGTGTCCAACCCAGTGATTTTCAAGACCCAATGCTATGGGGACTTGTCTTTCTGGAGCAGATCCCCAAGGCCAAGTGTGCTAGGTTTTCAGGCATTTATCTCCTCCCTGCTCTGTTCCTCTGTCCCTCCTATTTGTGTCTTGTGCTGGGGGAAGGGCTTAGATCTCAATCAGTTGCAGCTCTGCCCCTTTACCCTTCTCAATGTGGTCTGCTCTTTTTCTTCAGGTATCAAATGTCTGTTTTGCTGGTCTTCAAGTTGTTTTCATAGTTAGTTGTATTAGATGTAGTTGCTTCCTCAGTGTGTGCATAGGAGGAGGTTATCATAGTGACCTCCTATTCTGTCATCTTTCTCTACTGCTTCTTGAGGATGCAAAGTCCTTGGGTGATGTTTACTCTTCCCCTTGCTATCCTGAAACTCAAGTACTATGATATAAAGTTAATTATTAATAATATATCTTATGTTAGATGATATGGGAATAAGTGAAGGAAGAAAGCTAAGATATTTGCTAAACTAGTCATGTGGTTATAACTGGTATTTATAATGACCTTCTTCCACTATTCATTCCATATTCCCTTTGCTTTGCCCTCAGTAAGCATCTCAGGTGGTTGTGGTTCTTTAACTGGTCTGGTAATACAAACACTCATTTCTGAAGGGTCTGGGCCATTTGTAGTCCTCTTGTAGCTCTCTATTGACTTTAACCACAGGGCATGGTAATACAATGTGAGATGCCCTAAGGGATTTCCTGTATTCCACATATACTCTTCCTTGCCTCCGCTGTATAGTAGTAGTCCTACTTCCCCTTGGTAGTCAGGATCAATCATCACAGCCCAGTAATTCCCCTTTTTGACTTTTGACTCAGAGTTATGAGGAGCCAAAGATGGCCAGCTAGCAGTCTTAACATCATTATTTTGTCTTCTGGTGGATTCATTCCTCCCTTTGGAACTAAGACCTCTAGGCCAGCAGAGTGTAGATTCATGGGAACAGGACACAAAAATTTTGCTGATGGGTCACCATGGATAATATTGAGTGGTCTCACTTCCATTTCCATGTCTTGATTCCTGGACCTGTGAATCTTGGCTATTGGAGGAACAGTACCATATATTGGAATCTAATTCAGGGCATATACAACCTTCTGGAGAACTTTGTCCCAGCCCTGTAAGGTATTACCACCTAACTGTTGTAACTGATTCTTCAAAAGACCATTCCACTATTCTATCGAGACAGCTGCTTAAGAATGGTGGGGACATAGTAAGACCAGTGAATTCCAAGCAGTGAGTACTTCTTTTGCTGTGAATTTAGTTCCTTGATCAGAAGCAGTGCTGTGTAGGATACCAGATGTAGATAAAGCATTCTGTAAGTTCTTAGATGGTGACTTTGGCAGAAGTATGGTATGCAGAGTAGGTAAATCCATATCCAGAGCATGTGTCTATTCCAGTAAGAGTAAAATGCTGCCCCTTTCATGATGGATGTTGTCCAGTGTAACCAACATGTCACCTGGTAGCTGACTGACTCCAGAGAATGGTGCCATATTGGGGACTAGGTGTTGGCCTCTGCTACTGACCCACTGAATATTCATCAGTAGCTGTAGCAAGGTTGACTTTGGTGAATTGAAGTTCATGTTGCTGAGCGCATGCATAACCTCCAACACTGCCACCATGTCTACTTTGTTCTTCAGCTTATTGGACAATGACAGAGGTGGCTAAGGAAAGAGACTAACTGGCATCTACAGAACGGGACACCTTGCCCACTTGATAATTAAAATCCTCCTCTGTTGAGATCACCTGTTAGTGAGCATTCACATGGTACACAAATATCTCCACATTTTTTTTTATTCATCCATTCAGAGAGGTCTATCCATGTGCCTCTTCCCTAAATTTCTTGGTCATCAGTTTTCCAGGCATGTCCCTTCCAAGTCCCTGACTATTTAGCCAAACTGTTAACTATAGTCCATGCATCAGAATATAATCCCACATCTGGCCATTTCTCCTTCTAACAAAGTGAACAATGAGGTACACTCCTTGAAGTTCTGCCCTCTATGAGTTCCTTCAGGGATGTTCCAGAGAGGAGCTGTAGGTGCTGCAGCTGTCTCTTTAAGTGTGATATGCTGTGCCTGCATATCATGCAGACCATCTGTAAACCAAGCCTGAGTTTTCTTTTCCTCAGTCATCTGATGAGAGAGAACTCCCTGTGATACATAAGTGCAGGCTGGGAGAGAGGAGGTAGTGTAGTGGGGGTGGGAGCCATGGGCATTTGGGCCACTTCCTCATATAACTTACTTGTACCTTCAGGGCCTCCTCAAGCCCCGTTTTGTATATACCATTTCATTTGATAATGGAGTGCTGCTCTTCACAGCCGACATTATGGCTTGGTGCATCAGACCACACACAATTCATGATGGGCAGCTCATCTCTCTTGGTGGCCCATAGTTAAGTACTCAGCCTCTACTGAGGCCCAATAGCAGGTCAAAAGCTGTTTCTCAAAAAGAGAATATTTATCCACAGAGGATGGCAGGGTTTTGCTCCAAAATCCTAAGGACCTGTGCCATGGTTTACCTACAGGCTGCAAAGAGCATTTCTATTTGCCACTTCAAGTACTATTGGATCTGCTAAATCATATGGTTCAAGTAGGAGAGCACCATGCCAGCAGCCTGGACTTGTTGCAGAGCGTTCTCTTGTTCTGAGACCCTCTCAAAGCCATCAGCTTTTTAGGTCACTCTGTAAATGCACTAGAATAGTACACTCAAATGAGGAATATGTTGACTCCAAAAATCTAGAAAGATCCACTAAGCATTGTGCCTTTTTTTGGTTGTAGGAGTGACCAAATGCAACAACTTACGCTTTACCTTAAGATATCTTTACCTCTCTCATATCACTGGACCCCTAGAGGTAGAAAGAGACCCAGCAATTCTATTTCCCTGGACCCTGGAGACCCACCAAATCCATTTCCAGTAATATATCCAACCATGATGTGTACATATGTTCATGAAAGGATATATACTAGAATGTTCATAGCAGCACCATTGATAATAGCCACAGAAACTGGAAATAATCCAAATGTCCATAAACAGTAGAATGGATAAATTGACATATTAATTCATTGGAGTGCTATATAGCAATAAGAATCCACAGTGTAGTTACATGCAACAATATTGACGAATCTCACATAAGGAGCCAGACACAATATAGTACATTTAGTATTATTTACATTTATGCACAACTAAATTATGATATAAATTACCATGTGGACATCCTTGTTGGGGATGGATATCTGTTCCATCTGGGAAGGGGTCATGAGAGGTATTTCTAGGTCTGATAATGTTCTGTTTCATTATTTGGATGATGGTTACATGGGTGTGTTAAGTTTGTGAAAACCCATCACACTGTAGAGTACCAGATATGTATTTTTCTCTGTGTATGCTATAGTTCAGTTAAAAATAGAGAAACTTCTAATTTGATCTCTTTAGACTGTCATATTAGTTTATGACATAAGTAATACCACAATTTTGGGTTTAAGTGTGTAAAAAATCTAAACTAAGATGTGTCTGGGATGTTCTTTTGAGTGTTCAAACCAAAATTTTCAGTTTAATTCAGAGACCCCCCCCAATGCACGTCAGACCAATTGTGCCACCTCCTGGCTTCTTTCTAGGTTCTCACCTCATTTAGCAGCCTCCCCATTAAGTAATTCCCTTTCAACCTTTGGCCCCTTGTCTCTTTCCTTTAGTAAAAATAGCAAAGCCCCAAGCTATCTAGTGATCATGTTATTTTAAACATGCAACAGCCTATTTTTAGTCCTGGCATTTAACGTTTTAGCTAGTTTGGCAGTAATCTAATTAGGACAACAGGGTGAAGTTCACTTTTGATGGTCTAGGACCCCTGTTGTGTATGCTGTTTGTTCATTAATAACTGATACTATGTTGATTAAAGAAAAAATTGGTGAAAGTGGACATCTAGAGGCATCCAAAAGAGGTGTGATAGAGGAGGGAGATAGTGTGGGCAGGTAGAGGTTTGAGAATAGTGACAGCCAGATAGAAGAGGCTTTAGAAAACAACTGGTCCAACGTTTCTCAGTGTATGATCGTCTGGATACCTGCACCAGAATCATTGCAGACCTGGTAAATTACAATCTCTAGAGATAGGGCACAGGAATCTGAGGTTTGATGAGTTCGCAAAGTTATTCCAATAACTACCAAAATTTGAGAACCGTAAAATGATCTAGTCTATTTTGCTCATTTAACAGATTAACAAAAATGACCTTCTATGATAGATAGCTATCATATAGGGGATGAGGGTAGAGTAGTTAGGGCTCTGAGTTTCCCAGTTCATCCAGACAGGACAGTTTGCTTCTCTTTGCTTTACACATTGGGCTTCTGTATTCTATGTAAACTGAGACTTTTTTTTTTTTTTTTTTTTTTTTCTTACAGTTACAACAATGGGTGTTTGATATAGTGGTACTTTAATTTGGTCAACAAGCACATTAGGCACAGCAATATTCACTAGGGATATGAGTACAGCCTTAGCCCTCCAGGGCTTACAGACTAGTGAGGAGATAGATCCCAGGCTTCCCTCTAAGGTTATAAGCTAGAAGTGGAACACAGCACTCTAGGAACCCAGGAGGCATGCGGTTAACTTTGTTTTGAAATGTCAGGGAAAAATTATAAGCTAATACCTTTTGGAAAACCAGACAAAACCTGTAACTTTCTGTTAGTAAGATTTTAAGATTTCTATTTTATTTTGATCTCCAGAAGAGACGATAAATGATGTTTTAAATTCGTATCTCAAGCTAGTAGTAGAGTAACAGCCTTTAACTGGATACATATATATCTTCAGTGAGAAATTTGAATTTTTAAATAATAATAGCAGGTAGAAGTATCACACTGAAACTTGACAAATGAGAGGGAGAAAAACTTGAATATCTGAGGGATGGTAGTAGAAATCAGTTAAGAGCTGGACATCCCTAACTTCAAGTGCTAGCTCTGTCACATGAGTTGATTCCTTAAGTACTCTGGATTTTACCCTCCCATCCGTAAAATTGGCACAATATTAGTTCTTGCCACAAAGAGCTGTTGCAAGGATTAGAGATAGTGTCTGCCATATAATAATCACTCATTATGCAGTAATTATTATTTGCTTCTATAGGGTAGGTTAATTCTCAAGTCTAGCTTACTCATTTCCCTTTGAAAGTATTCTTTTGTTTTATCAAATTGCAAAAAGCCTGAAATATATTGTGTGGTTATAGTAGTTGATGATAAATTTGGTTATGCCATCTGATGTAAAGAATCTATCAGCTAAGTGTGTGTAGTCTTTGACACAGACACATTGATCTAGTACAAATACAGAGATGGAGTATGCCAATCAGTCCTTGGGGAAAAAGAACCAAACTAGTTTGACATTACAGAGACCTTTTAAGCCTGTTGACTTGGAGTCATAGAGCTATGTGATGTCATATAGCTTATTACAGAATAAAAAGATAAAGTTCTGTAGTTGATTGGGTCATTCACTCAGCAAATATTTATTGATTCTGGGTATTGTGTGATAGATGCAGTTAGTTCTTAGAAATACTGAGATAAAAACAGAGTTGTCTTTATGGAGTTTGTAGCTTCATAGAGGAAGTCAGGTATGTAAAACAAATCCAGTGGAGGCATAAGTGCTTTCATAAAGCTATATGTGGGACCCTGCTGGAGTACACAGAGAAGGCAGGAAATGCTCTGAGGTGATCTGATACCCAAGCATAGGCTTTCTAGGTAGAGGCACCAACATAAAGGCAGGTGTTTAAAGCATCCTCAGGTAGTTACAGAACTGAAAGTAGTTATGTTCAGCTGGAGGGGAGATTGGATTCTCTGAGAACTGAGTCTTGATAGTAATCAGGAGACAGATCATAGATAGTCTCCTGTGTCACACTCACTTTTGAGTTTAATCCTGGTCAGACTGTTTTTTAATCAGATCCTTGTGGCTAGAAGTGTGGAAGTGACTTCAAAAGAAGTGAGCCTGGAAACAGAAAGATCATGTGGGAGGTTTGAAAAAGTCTTGATGAACAAAGTTGAGAAAGTAAGGATCTGAGCTTGTGTATCTCAAAGTGTGGTGCTCAGACTACCTGGGGAATTTATAAGTAATGCAGATTCCCAGGTCCTTGGTTCAAAGATCTGATTCAGGCATTCTGGAGTTTGAGGACCAGTGTAAACTAAAAATATTTATTGGTATAACTGCCAGGGCTTAGTGATTAATTAGGTAGTGGTACAGGATAGTGAGAGAGAGAAGGGCAGTTAGAGGATGACCGCCAGGTCTCTGGTATTGGAAAGGTTCAGAAATGATGCATTTCAGTTGATGTCAGGGGAAAATATAGGGCATGACCCTGGATGTATATATGAAGGCTGAGGAGGGGGTGAGCAAGACTAGTAGTTGGGTTGGCTGTTTACCCACTTAGGAAGTTACTCAAAAGTTGGTGTGGAGAGGATGACTGTGACCCAGTTTCCAAAGTCTATAAATGAGTAGATGGTATCTGAGGTCAGTAAAGATAACGATAAGGAGTAAAGGGTAGAATAGCCAGTGCTTCCCAAACTTTAAGGTATTTGTGAATTGCCTGAGGACCTTATTAAGATGGATATTTTGATTCAATAGGTCTAGAATGGAATCTAAGATTCTACATTTCCAATAATCTCCTAGGTAATAAAGTTACTGTTCCGTGGACCACACTTTGAATAGCAAAGATATAGGTCTCTGGTGTTCAAACTTGGCTGCATATCAGACTTTGCAGGAGTCCTTTGCCCAGAGATTCTGATCTATTTGGAATGGGAAATGGCCTGGATATTAGGACATTTAAAAGCTTAGGTAATGCAAAGGTACAACAAAGTTTGAGAAACATGATATAGGCTGATTAGCCAGTGGTGGGGGGTTGTGCGGCATGTGAGGAATATCATATTTTGAAAGTGGCAATGGGAATATGAAAGTTGGCTTTGCTCTGGATCTCCTAGTACAAGATGTGGGAGGAAAGGCCCCAGAACCCAGAATCCTGTTTGGGGAGCTACAACAGAGAGTAAGAGAATGCAAAGGAAGGGTGGGTAGGAAAATGGAAAGGAAGGGTGAGGGGCTACTTCCTGGATAGTGGCTGAGGGGGACAGGGATGAGAAACACAACTGGATCAATTCCTCTAGTGTACAAGGCTGGGGCTAGAGGCCTGGTGATTGCCGGGCTTTCCACTGGAATGTTACTGAGCAGATCTCTTTGTGTCTCCAGAAGGTATCCTCAGCATGTCCAGGAAAGTGTGAGCCAACTATTCCTTTTGTTGTTGTTGATGGCTTCTGAATTTGTTTCCTAAGGCTCAACGGGGTGAAACTAGAGTGGTCTGGACATCAAGCGTTCTCTCCTTAGGGGCTGGTTTAGTAACTATTGCTCACCTGCTGTGATATATATGAAGTAATCTATTGTCATATTTTTTCTCCAGATATTATAATAAAAACAAATGGCAGGATGTAGCAGCTGTAGCTGAATTTTCACTACTTTGAAGACATGAATGTGAAGTCAAAGTCCGTAAAGCAGAATGTCTGTCTGAAATTAAGAAAACATAATTCTCTAATTATTTGTTATATATCCTGGTGTTGAAATTCCACTGAGATTCTTGTATAATTTACTTTTAATTAATTAAGAAACATTCTTCTGTTTGCTTCTTAAATATATGTATTTGTGTTATAAAATAAGAATAGCTTATATTAAAAGACTGCATAATAACTGGTTGATTTCAGCTATTTATAGGGTCAATACCAGGGTACTACATAATTTCCTTTGATTGTTTTTTCCTAAAGACTGTCCTTTGTTGGGATTAAAAGTAGTAAAGCTGTTGAAGCACTTAAAATGGAAATACTTATATTACGAGCTATTTTTAACAGAACTTAATTGAAACCACATGAGTGAGAGACCTAATTACAGGTCTGACTGAAAGAAACTCTATACTCAAGGTTTGCTGAAGTAGGGAATGTCTAATATGTAAATCAATCATACACTAAGTATTTAATATATTACCTCATCCCCAAACAATATTTTTTAGCTAACACCGTCTGTAGGAATTTTTTTTTCTGGTAATGTTATTGGAACATCTCTAGGACAATGCCCTTCCTAAAAGCCCTGATCCTATTGTCAGTGAACATAGTACAGAGTAACTGTTGCTGAGGTTTTAACTCTGATGGTTTACTAAGTAAACAACAGTAAAAATTTCAGAGCCCCTTCAGTAAGAAAGAAAATTCTAAATTTGATGAATTAATTTGAAGTTACATAACTCAAATATACTATATAGTATTCATTTTCAAATAGAAGTCCCATGAATATACTCTTGTAAATGTTTTGACAAGGCCTTAAACCACTAACAACGCTATTTGTGATTTTTCTTTTATATTTTCATTTGGAGGTGAAATACAGGAAAGTTGTTAAGAAAAGTAGAAGAGATCAATAATGGTGGAGGCCGAAAGCAAATTTAGACCTGAATTCTAAATCAGTACTCAACTAACACAGCAACTCTTGTGGATTTAAAGGCAGAAATGTGATAAGCAGTCCGGGGAGAAGAAATGAAACAGAAGGCCTGTTCTCTTTCAAGGAGTTTACAAGCCAAGGGGAAAGGGAGAGAATGAGAATGCATTATTTGGTAGTTTCTAATCAGGTGGTAGGTTCCTGTGAGAAAGAATACCTGATTCTTACACGGGGTCTCCTGGGACTGGAGGAAACACATATTGTTTCCTATTGCTGATAAGGAAAATACAGCTAGCCCAGAGAGGTAAATGCCTGTCCAGGCTAATGTTATTTAGAACATGACAGAGCCAGGATTGTAAGGGAGGACTATCTGAGTCCAATATTTTTGTTTAATTGGCTAAAGCACAGGGAAAGATGGGAGAGAAGAAGGAGTTAACAATTTGTGTTCAAAGCTTAGGAGTGGAGGACAGAGTTTCACTTATGATGAAGAGGAAAGAAAGTACAATAAACCTGTTTGTTGTCTGGCAGACATGAGAAGTCTAAAGAGGATTCCTGTTGGCAAATCCTAGGAGGAGGTTTTATTCTCAATCTTGTATCTGTTAGTTTGCTTCAGAGGTCCCTCAGTGAAGCCCCTAGGAAGAGCAGCAGAAAAGCAGTTCATCTCTTCCTGGTAAAGGGATCTTCTCCACAGCTTTCATCACATTTTCAAAGTGGTCTGTGATCTAAAAAAGGTTAATAATGGGACTGGATCTATTTTAAGATTTAAAATTGTACTTTCAAATTATACTTCATAAACAACATCTCAGGTTATAAATATACTGTTAAAAAATTCATGGAAGGTCAGGCCTGATAGCATTTCCATTAAAATTTTTTTAACTGAAGTGTTTTTTTTCACCTTTCCAAGGTGTGTTCATCATGGTGTGTTCAGTTATGAGCAGCTTCTTACCTCGTAAGTGCATATAGCATGTTTATATGAAGGATGAAATG